CCGGTAGGTCCGCAGCAAAAACGACAAACAGATTCGGAAAGGACGTTTCCTCAGCTTTCGAATGATATAGGTCTCGACCCGAGACTCCAATCTAAGTTCACAACTTTCCCTAGTCAGTTTGTGCCATCGTAGCTTGGCTGGTAGCGGCCTCTCCGACTGTGGGCTCACAAGTTCAACTCCTCGAGAAGCTTGTATGAACGAAATTTCGAGGCAAGACAATTTTCATGCCCCCCCCCCCTCCCTTTAAATGGCTTTTTGGTAGTTTTTAGCTCGTACAACCGTGCAGCTGTGACCGTTTTTTTAAACTTTGATCCTTCAGTACGGCTCCATCCAAGCAATGTACGTCAACTACCCGAGCAACACCGGCGGTGGATCTGTTGGGCGTGCCTCTCCATACATTTTCTCTCTATTGAAATTGTAATTTCTCTCTTTTTTTTCAATAAATCATTTATCAAGCACTCAAAACCTCTGATTGTTCTCCGAATAATGCTCCGATTTCACTCTCACAATTCTTTTCGAAAAGTGCTTTCGATATTTTCTCCATATTGTCGTCAGGTACAATTGATAAGGATCGTAGAAAAGAAATAAAGTTAGCAGAGATGCATTGGGTTGATTTTCGCGAAGAATATCGATGATATAGGATGGCCAGGCAGTTTCAATATCTATTAGTAAAATGAGGTTAGCCATGATTATAGGAAAATTTGCAAAGGTGAAGATGACAAAGGCCTGAGACTTAGTACCGATTGATTTGATTGTCAGTTTCCACCTACTTGTAGCCGGGTTCTTTTATTGAATTTCTGATGCATTCTTTTCGTTTTATTAGATTTTGTCAGCATTCGTTTGGACAATAGCATATACGCCTTATGAGTGGCATAAAATATTATAAAAGTGGAGCCAAACACATTGGCCAAATTCAGGATTGCAAAAATGATAGCACAATTGTTCAAAGGGTTACAGACAATGACAGAGTTGATGTCATAGACACAATCCGGATATATTTTGTAGTCCTGAAAAAATATATTGAAGGGGTTTTCAAGAATTTTGAGTTACCTGGATCATTGCCCTTTTTGCATTTTCTTGATTCGGCGTGAGTACATAAACAAACGGAATCATGGTAAGAGGCATGAGTCCCACAGAGATGTACACCCACACTTCTTGGACCGTCCGTCTTATTGTACGTAGGCCTTGGTACATATTCATGATAAGGAATACACGATTACAAAATATGAGTTGGCTGGAAGCGAGGGAAACTGAAAATTTGTTCGTTTAGAAAGCGGAAGGTGGCTGGCGGGTCACCGGCGGGTCACCGGCGGGCCACCGGCAGCCGAGGGGTGCCTCAACTGGTTTGACTCGCGTAGCTCGGCTTTTCGAATCAATTAGGAAAACGAAAAACTCAACTAGATCTACATAGTTATACTTAATTCAAGAATTTCACTACTTCATTAAATCAGTAATTCCAAGTTTGAACAAAGTTACCGTAAACACTCTAATAGAACGCCACCCGGACCGTCCATTTTGAGCATATATGTATATCTCACTTCTTAACCACTTTTTGATATCTCTCACAGAAAATGAGATGCATGGGGCTCAATTTTGACGATTCGGATGGGAGTCTATTAGAGTGTTTACGGTATGTGCTGACCCGGGTAGGACCGTTTGAGCATTCGAAAAAAAAAGATCATTAGACAGCTTGCAAGTGCAGTACAAGACAGACAAAAGATTTCTCCCCGGCCGGGAATTGAACCCGGGTCTCGCATGTGACAGACGCGGATACTCACCACTATACTACCGAGGACACGCGAGAGAGAAACACTAGTGGCGGTTAAAAAGCGGCGGGTCACCGGCGGGCGAGGGGCGAAACTTACACCCGTAAATGATGTATGAAATGAAATAAAGAGAGTAGGAATCCATCCATGCTGCTAGAATTCCATCCATTCTAACCACTAGACTGGACGAAAAGTAAAAATAGTCGATGAGCAAGGAGTTGGCGATCCAGGCAATGGAAATGCTAAAAATCCAAAGTTATGGGCCGGGCCTGTGCGGCAACAAAATTTTTTCGGCAATTCGGCAACTTGGCAATTGCCGAAAAAAAATTTCGGCAATTTCGGCAATTTTCGGCAACAAAAGTTTTGCGTCTTTTTTTAGTAAAATCGATACGTAACTCACCTGAAAATGCTTCTATCAGGCTCAGAACTACAGAAAATGTGTTTCATAAGTTCCTTAAAAAAGTAATTACAAAAATTGGCAACTGAAGACCACATTTTTGATGCAAACTATTTCTCTTTAGCAATAGAGGGTATTCCAATGGTTGAAAATATTTGTTCCGATTGTGAGTTTTGAAAATAGTGCGCTCAACTTGTTAGGCAACTCACGACACACGTTCCCTAGAGATTTGAGACAGATTGGATAATTTTTTTGATGAGTTGTGACTCATGATATCTATTTTTCTCCTATGCTCACAAATTTGAAGCCCATTTTTAGATCCGATGCAAATATTTTTGATGATTATTGGGACACATTTCCTCTAAAATTCACTCTGAGGGATGATGGTGTTCAAAATTTGATTTTTCGAACTTCGATATCATTTTTTTGACTAAAAAAATTGTGAAAATCTCTAAATTCAAAAAAATTTTAGTTGCCGAAATTGCCGAAATTTTTTGCCGAAATCGGCAACGGCAATACGGCAACTTTTTCTTCGTTGCCGATTTCGGCAACGGCAAATCGGCAATTTGTTGCCGCAAAGGCCTGTCATGGGCGAACCATAAAGATGTGTACCATATCATATGAAACACCAGGAACCATTTCAAAAATCCAAAATTTTTCGGCGTCTTTTTCAGAACACAAAAAAATGCAAATGGATATAAAATTGTGATAAAGCAGCTGAAAATGGATTTCACAAAATTATAGGTCGTCGGGTTTTCAATCCAAATTGATGTATAGTTTTCGAAATGGCTGAAAAAAAATGTTTAAAAACTTTAAAACTCTTCAAGGTTGACTCACTGCTCCATTCGCAAACTCCCAGACAACGGAAATTGGAAAAAAACACAGAACTTGCACATAATTTCATTTTCTGGGCGGAAAGTTTTTTTTCTTAGAATTAGCAAAACAAATAACATGTTTTCTTGAACGAGCCTACTCAGAGCTAATCAGTTCGGTGTAAGACCAAAAAACGCGTCATCAGCTTGGGGAGAGGGAAATCATGAGTCAGTTTTTGGTGAATTCTGTTAAATAAATTCTCGAAGAATTACGTCGAAATTTTGGGATTTTGCAAAACAAGAAAAAACCTGAAAATTCGAATTCTAACTAAAGACACAACATTTTGCAACCAGATGTTTTTGAACTACCGTATTTCCTTTAATAGAAGTCCAACCAAACCGTCAACTTTGAGCTCAATTATATTGATTCCTGTGCACGGCTTTGAAAATTTATACGACTGATAAATTATTTATCATAATATCTCTTGCATCAATGGACAAAAGTTTGATCTCTTTTACAGAAATTGAGATAATTGAGCTCAAAGTTGACGGTTCTACTGAGGAAAATACGGTAGCCATTTCGGCAACCAACCATTTTGTAACCTGACGTTTTAGAACCGGTTGTTCCGCAACTGACCATTTTGCAACAAAGTAATCGATAACCGCGCTATTCTAAAACTTCTGGTTGCGAAGTGGTCAGTTACGAAATTCNCCAAAACCGATTTTTCAAAAATAATATTATTATTAAAGGTGGTGTACGGTGAAATTTTTTATTGCATCAATATGTGCAGAAATTCATGTAGATTGACTTAAAAATAAAGAAAAAAAATAATAAAAAATCCTTCGGCGAGAAAAACGCATCGAAAAATACGCTGAAAGCCCTTAGGGACGAGGTTTTTTCTAGGCCGCCCGGTGAATAAAAGCGCGCGAATCCAAACTTTTAAAATTTTTTCGCTCGTTTTCATTGTTTTTTCGCTTTTTTCAAGAG